CCCCTGGCACACACCCGCTGGTACACCACTAGCTCCACTCCCCCTTCACCCCCCCCTTAGTACCACTCCACCGGCTCCAACACATCCACCCCACCTCAGCGGCAGCTGCAGCACAGGGAGACGGAGGAGGAGGAGGAGCAGGGAACGGCACACTGGAAGATCACCCCCATACCCCTCACCCCCAAATCCTAATTCAGGAGAATGGGGTGTAGGAGGGGTGGGACGCCAGGAGAAGCATGGGGGAACAGCGGGGAGGGCGAGGGAAACGAGAAACGGGCCCACCACGGGCCTAGGGCACGCGCCCGAGTCGCGCGCAGGCGGCCCGAGCCGCACGCGGCCCTGGCGCCGTCCCCGTACGGGCCGCGCGCGGGCCTGGCGCCGCCCGTACGGGTCTCGCGCGGGCCTGGCGCAGCCCGTACAGGCCGCGCGCGGGTCTGGCGCAGTCCGTACGGGCCTGGCGCAGCCCGTACGGGCCGCGCGCTGCTTGTACGGGTCGCGCTCGTGCCGCGATGGGCGACGGGGGGCGACGCGCGGGTCCCCGTCGCCCGTCGCGGCGCCTCCTGAGGGCGACGCGGGGGGTGACGGGGTAGAAGCCCGTCGCGCGCCTCGGGGCGTACAGCGGGCAGAGAACCGCCGCGCGCCTCGGGGCGCACGGCGGGCAGAAAACCGCCGCGCGCCTCGGGGCGCACGGCGGAAAGAAAAATGCCGCACGCCACGGGGCGTGCGGCTCAGAGAGTAGGTGAAGTAGTAGCAGCGGAAGCTAGGAGGTGGTACGCCCACCCACAAGATCGATCCAAGGGGATCGACCTGCTCTGATAGCATGTGAAAATTAGAAGAGAGAAGAGGATTGCACTAGCAAGAATGAGGATACAAATAGCAAACCCTAGAAGGGTTGTACTCGCTATAGAGCACCCCACTATGACATAAGATAACATTATGACAGGGAGAAGGCGACAGCTGTTTTCGCCCCTGCTCGGAGGTTTTCGGCGAGTCACGAAAACACCGATAATGCAGCTGATGTCATCGGCAGTTCAAGTTCGTGTTTGAAAGAATATTGGCGAGGTCAGGGGGAAGAGCAGCAGATGTTTTCGTCCCTGGCCGAGAGTTTTCGGAGCAACGCGACAAGGGCCTCGGCGAGCCTGGACAAGACTGCCGGGGGCACCGACAGCTGGAGAAGCTACAGCGAGGATTTTCGCCTGCAAACAAGACAAACGGCAGCAATTTCAGGATTGCAGCAGCTGCCAACTGGAGATCGGGCAGTAGACAAGTGATTCGATACTGACACGCGGGGGTTTTCGAGATGGCACTCACGAGAGATGCTGCAGCAACAGTCGTACCAACAAGACAAAACGAAGAAATTCTTCATGCCGAGTTCCTGCAAAAACGATACTATTTCGAAGGGACTTCAACAGAATTTACCTTAGGCATTTTCGGGGTTTTCGACAGTGAGATTTCGCCACCGACAGCAATTTCGACTGCTCAGTGGCTGAATTTTAGGCGGCTAGGTCATAACACTTGGTATTCTGCGTCATTGTGGTTGAGGTTTTGTGCCCGCGCGGCTGTGCATATTTTGGTGGGCAGCAGTTCCCAAGGGGGGGAGAAAGAGTGCCCACGCACTGTTCTTGGCAGGTCTCTGACATTTCGGCAGTTATTGCTGACAGTCCGTCTGACACACCCAGCACGACGGACGCACGCGATGGCTTCATCGAGATCGACGGCACCAGATTCATAGATCTCTGACAACGCGTCAGACTTCCCGCCGACATGACATTCACCAGAACCATCCGCGACATCGACGGTCTTCCTCGTCGAACGATTTGAGATCGACATTCGCTTTCAACCGCCCGATTGACATCGGCAGTATCAACGGCTGACCCAACTCTTTGAAATTCGCCTGGTCAACGCGCTCAGCCACGCGTCAACTCGAAAGTCAACATGCTTCCGCACCGTCAGATCGGTTTTCGACCGAGATCTGCAGTTTTCACGCTACTGCAAGACTCGGCTTTGTATAAGGGCACCTTATTTAGAAGGTGGGAGAGGGTAATGAATATGAATTCATTACTGTAGAGGCTGTTTCTAGCGAGGACAACCCCGAGCACTTCGCGTCAGTTTCGAGGTTCGGCCTACACTTCGGACCGAACCACCGACGAGTCGCTCCGCACCAATCGCGACACTTCCAACCCATCCACGTCCCGAGGTCCTCGCCTAGCACGGTTTCGACCCTATAAATGCTTGCATCTTTATCATTCTGGACATTCTGTATTCGACATCCTTTTTATAAAGTCTTCCGCGCACTCTTCTTAGTACAACTCATAACATCAGCACTGCTCCAAACGAAGTTGCGCCATGCGGACTTAGCACCCCGCTCACACAAAACTCGTATCCCGAATCACATTCAACATGGCTCGCGAGCAGTAACTTGGGCCGGTTGCGAAACGACAGTGCCAAAATTGGCCGTTCGTCTTTTCTGGGCGGTTTCTGAGATCGGGAATTAGGGTTACGCGGACCTGTTCGGGGTGACAGTACGAACATTGAAAGCTGATTTTGAACGCTATCAATACGAACCTTCTGACGCATTCAGCGCGTCAATGTTGCACGTCATTGAAGACGGATGACTACAGTAATCCAGTACTGAGGGTTACAAAAGCAAAAACAGGGTTACAAAGGCCGATATGAACTATAAACGAAGATGTAGGACACGCCCTAAAGAGTTGCTACGCAACCCAAAAAAGCTGGGAGGCGTGGGGTGGGGGGATGCTGGTTGGAGCCAGGAATTTGCAAATCAAAGGGTGCATTCTTGGCTCGTGTCAAACTTCCGGTCAAACTTCGTGTTTTCCGAGACAAGGGGCGAAATTTAGCCGGAAAACCCGAAGTGGGTCTCGGATGACACAAAGTGGGGCCAACTGTGGGCCAGCTTCGTGTCATCCCCGGAAGACCGGAAGTATGACACGAGCCAGGAATGCACCCCAAGACTCGGAGCTCTCAGGGCTGTCTGATACTTTTTCTGAGGTCTGTCTAGGTGCTGCTGTTCCCAAGGTTTTCTGGCGGGCTTTTGGTGCGAAGGCGGGAAACCTAGTGACAACATCGAATTCGAGCAGTTTAAGCTTGAAGTTTAAGTTTTTATTAAGGTCGTAACCCAGACAACACAGAGGCTAACAAGGATAACCCAAGCCAGAGGCCTACGCTAAAACTTAGCGATTCTTTAGCTGAACTAAGTTCACACACAGGAGAGTCTCCTGCCCGCTCTGTGTTGGATGAAGTAACTGAGGCCCGCGCTTAAGGCGGTTGGAAGGGACTGTGGAGAAGCCAAGAGGCGCGAAGTTCTGGGTGTATTTGTGGGGAACTGTTGGGCAGGAATTGGAGCCGTTTGTGCCGGGTGGCAGCTTGGACCCGTTTTGCAGTGGCACGTCGTTGTTTCTTGGAGCCCTTGCCTCGGTGGAAAAAACAGGTTTTACAAGCGGTGAGAAAAAGGGCCAGGATGCGGTGTAGGGTTTCAACACTCGAGTAGGAGATATTGTCATACGAGGACACCGCCCGGGATTGCTGCACTCTTCCCTACGGACTGCACTGCTACCTCGCGCACCCCGAGATACTCAAACATTTACCTGAGTCGACTCCCCCTCGGGTTCTTGCGGAGCTGAAAAGCATTCTGGAAGCTCCTGCAAAAATATCAAGGCCGCGATTGGAGCCATGGGTCCTGATGGCTGAGCCAGTGGCTTTTAACAGGTTCATTCATAAGCCTGACGAGAAACCTTTTGGCCGAGTTAAAGACGAATTCTTTTTGTTAGACAAACAAATCCGTCTTGGACCTTATTCGGCCTGCTCCTGGGGGGTCGCGGCAACTGACACCGTCCGAATTCCGGACAATATACCCGCCCAAAAAATACCCAGGCGGTCTGCGAATACTGCTAGCTATATACCAAGCGGTTCCCGATGACTGGTGGGATGGGCTCTACGATTTCACACCACGCCCAGACTACCTACGCAATAACGACTGGGCCTTCGAAGCAGCACCGACCGACCATCGACCACAGGTGCTACGTGTCAAGCAGTTCATGGATGACGGACGTGTTAAATTCGACTGCCATGAAGTGACGCAGGGGAGACAGGTGAACATGACGCCTTTTGGAATCAAGACCTTACCAGCAGCAGCTGTCATTACGGTGTGTGTAATGGGGAAGTGGCTGGTGGGAACCTTCTGCTCGGGAGCGGCGCTCGGGGTCTGACACGAGCTACTTCGTCAACGGCCGTCGCTAGCCACGATACGGCAGCTTCTCTACACACCGCAACGCCTTGATCACGTCGATAGGTGGAACGAGTCCCTCTCCTTCACCTTACCCTCATTACCGGACCTCACTCATGCCTTTCTCAAGGACCAGACCAGTCGTCAAGGAGACATTCTCTTTCGCCTTTTCACTCGCTCCCTTCCCTGCGGAGATAGGATGCCCTATACCCCCTCCAAAGGCATCTGCACTCGATGTTACGATAATCGCATGGAAACACACAACGCTCCTACGGTCACTTCCGCCTTGCAACGGGTGGCCCAGAACCATCTGCGCGTGTCCGTCACGACTGAAGCCGTCTTCTTCCCGCTTACCTCCCCCGCGGGTCAAATCGCTCCATGGTGCCTGTTGGTAGGCGCGGCAGCAACTACACTATGGCGGGATCGGTGCTCACAGCGATATGACAATAACATCGAATTCGAGCAGGTTTTTTGTTCATAGATGCCGAGTGATGTGATTGGTGCGTAAGGGTTGCCAGCTGGGAAAGAAACACTTGTCACACCCGACAAGCCTATGACCTGACTCCTCCTGACCTAACCTACTCGGGAACTCCAAACGGGACAATAATCTGCTTCCTGATGCTATCAGGAACTCTGTGTTTGTCCCCCTCGCTCGTTCCCGCTTCGTGCACAGAGATCCGTCTTGTGACGGACGTTGTCGAACCTTAAGTTGATAACTCTTGTTGTCGCCCGGAAGCGACGGGCGGTACTGAGTGCGATGAAGAAGGGAATCCACCCCGCCTTGCAGTGGCTCAGCCTCGTCACGCCGCAGGGCCGCCTTGTGCGCGTGCTGTCCGCGCAGGTGTTCAAATCCGACCGTCCGTTCTACATCCGCGATCCGGGCAAGAAGGCGGAGACGGAGGGGCAGATCGCAAAGTTTAACAAGCGGTACAACATCCAGGCAAAGAACGCGAAAGAAGCTAAAGAAACGAAGGAGGCGAAGGAGTAGAGCTGGCGCAGCTGGTATTTCAACAGAAGTTGTACTTATCGTGTTGTCTGAGCTGGACATTTTTTTAGATTAACTCCTCAAGTTTAAGAAGTGGTACAGCATCCAGGCGAAGTAGGCGAAGGAGTAGTGCTGGCGCTGTTCTGCAGGTGGGCTCGGTTTCCGAACGGGAGGGTCAGATTGCGAAGTTCGACATGCGGTGTAACTAGTAGACGAAGGCAGGCGAAGCATTCCGCTTCGTTTTTGCGGATTTCAAGAAACCTCGAAATACCCCTTCGCACTAATATGATTTCACTTCTTTCTTTACGACGACCCCTTTTCAGCCGGCAGGTGGATGGCAGCCGCCACGTCAGCATGCGGCGGAATGACGTCAGCGCGTGGCGGCCCGCCAACGAATTCACCAGCTGCTGTGAGGAGGGGGATCGCGCGGGGAGAGGGGGGACGCATGAATCGGGGGCAGATTCTTACAGGGGTGATGCGTGGTGCAATGGGGTTGGAGTGGGTGGTAAGGAGGGAGATGAAGGTCACATGAGTGGTAGAGCACGAGAGGGAGGTAGGGATGGGGAATATTCATACGAGATCGATTGGGTTTCTGATAGGACCAGAGGGCTTAGGTTATCAGACTCGCCGGGAGATTCAGAGAGTACAGAGAACTGTGTTAGAAACAGTATAGAGACAAGATGTAGTGTAGCTACTCATGCTATAGCGGGGACAAGCGAGGGGGGAGCAGTTCGCCATGCAGCATGCAGTTCGCCTGAGATCAGGGTTTGTGTAACAGGGTTACAACAATCTCACGATCGTCCACCTACAGGGATGCAAGCACCGTCTCAAGAAGGACCGCAGCGGAGTAGGATACAGGAGCATGCTCCCTTCCATCAGCCACAGGGGATCTATTCTGCCCTGCCCTCTCTACCGCCCTCAAAACATTCGTTCGGAGAGACAGCCTTTGAGGCGCGTCAAGAGTGGCAGCAGTGTGCATGGCGCCACCAGGACGGGTACTCTGCCCTGCCCTCTCTACCGCCTCCGCATTCTTATGGGGAGACGGCTTTTGAGGCGCCTCTAGAGCAGCAGGAGTATGCTTCAGTGGCGACAAGTTCTGAGGGGTCTGCAGCAGGCCCGCAGGGGTGTGCTTGGCAGACGCAGCAACAAGGGTACTCTGCCCTGCCGTTGCACTCTCAACCGGACTTCGAGCGATCCTATGGGAAGACTGAGACGGCCTTTGAGGGGTCTCAGCAGCAGCAGGAGCATTCTTCGTGGCAGCAGCAAGGGGGGTACTCTGCCCTGTCCACGCACTCTCAACCGGACTTTGAGCGTTCCTATGGGAAGACGGAGACGGCTTTTGAGGCGCCTAGAGAGCAGCAGCAGCAGCGTGCTTCAGGGGGGACGAGTTTTGATACTGTGGAGAGTGCTGATGGCGGTGGCGCTCCAATGGCAGCGCTCCACGTGGCGGAGCTGTCGTCGTCCCTTCACAGGCACCCCGAGGGATGGGATGCGGCGCTGATGCGAACTCTAGAGGCGGATCCTCTAGGGGTGCATGGTGGGGGGATGATCAGTGCAGGGGTGGATGGGGGAGGAATGAATGGCGCATGGGTGAACTGTGCAGGGTTGAATGGAGCAGGGATGCATGGTGGAGGGGTGGACGGTGGTGGAATGAATGGTGGTTGTATGCAAGGTGCATCGCCTCCCCACACCTCTCCTGCAGAGCTCCTTTCGTGTGCGTCCACCTCCTGTCTCCTCCACCTCCGCAGCCTCTCCCCCACTCCCACTCCCACCCACCCATCCCATCCCGGCCTTTCCTTATTGCCTCCGCCCGTGGTTCCTCCTCTCTCCCTCACCACCTCCACTGCGCCAGCGCCAGCGCCGCTAACCCCCCCTCTGCCCTGCTGCCCCGCTGCCACATGCCCAACTCACACCCCTTCTCATTCTGTCCGTTCTCATTCTGCCCCTCCTGTTGCACCTTCCCACCATGCGTCACACAACGCCTGTCAGTTTAGCTTCATGCACCATCCATGCCCACATCCCTGTCAGTCCCACACCCTTCATTGCCATGCCTGTCAATCACATACCCTTCAACCCCACACATGTCAACCCCATTCCTGTCAATCCCGTGCCTACCAATCCCATACCTGTCAATCCCATATCTGTCTCGCCCATCCCTGTCCTGAGGTGCCTCAAAGGTCCTGTCAGGGCAACCCACACAGTGTGAGCGCATGCCAGTCAACTCCTTGCCCTGACTTTATTCGCCCTTGGCCTGGCTCCCCTCGCCCCACTCTTGAGTCGCCTCAAAGGCCTGGGTCCCCTCGTCCTGCCCACAAGCTGTCCCCTAGCCATGCCAACCATCCACATGACCATGTGCATTGCTGTTGCCAGCATTGCACTCACTGCAAATGCTTTCAGCACCAGCACCAGCACCAGCACCAGCACCAGCAGAAGCACCAGCAGCAGCACCAGCAGAAGCAGCTCCACCAGCAACAGCAGCAGCACCAGCAGCAGGTACTATCCCATCCGCTCTCCTCCTCCTCCTGCTCATCCTCCTCTCTCCCCAGTGTGGCCTATCGCGCCATCACCCCAGGGGACATGGGTGATCTCAAGGCCCTCCATGAAGCCACCTTCCCCATCGCGTAAGCTCTCTGCACTGCACACCCTGAACCTCTCTCAACTTAGGCACCAACTCCTTGTATCGCCTCCCCCATCGCGTAAGACCTCCCACACACTCTGCACACCTTGAACTCAACACTCAGTCGCCAACTCATGAGGCGCCTCAAAAGTATACCACTTCCGCACTCTGCACAGCACACCTTGAATTCAACACTCGCCAACTCGTTCTGTCACCTCACTTGCTCGTAGCGTAAGTTGCTCGCACGTTTATGTGTCCACCCAGAAGACGTGGCGGAATTCCTCTCGTAAGACTATCTCTGTCGCAAAATAAGCAAAGCCAAAAATCGCGTGACATCTGCAGAGGCAGAGACATCGCCTCGCCCTAAGCTCTCCTTCCCTCCCCCGCTCCCCCCTTCTTCCTCGCTTCCCCTCCCCTCTCCCCTCTCCCTCCCTTCCGATCAGGTACGAGTCAGAGTTCTATTCCAACGTGGTGCACCACAGGGGCGTCATCTCGTGTCTGTGGCGGCGATTCAAAATTCACCCTATCCTTCCTTCCACCAACCTCTCCCCTCTCCCTCTCCCTCTCCCTCTCCCTCTCCCCTCTCCCCTCTCCCCTCTCCCCTCTCCCCTCTCCCTTCCCATCAGGTACGAGTCAGAGTTCTATTCCAACGTGGTGCATCACAGGGGCATCATCTCATGGGGTGCGGTGGACCCTTGCCAGCCTGACCGGCTGGTGGGCTTTCTCACTGCGCGCCTCGTGCCGCCTGCAGAGGCGCAGGTGCTCTGTAGCTGGGGGATGGGGATAGGGAGGAGGGCGGGTGGTGCATGGGGTGCGTGCATGTTCGGTTGCCATCTCATGGGGTGCGGTGGACCCTTGCCAGCGTGACTGGCTCGTGGGGTTCATCACTGCACGCCTGGTCCCAGCAGCAGAGGCGCAGGTGGGTGCAGGGTGCATGGCGTATCAGGGTTACTGATGTGTGCATGTGTGGTGCGTGCACCATCGGGGTATCATCCCATGATGAGCAATGGACCCTTGCCAGCCGGACCAGCTTGTGGGCTTCATCACTGCGCGCCTCGTTCCGCCTGTCGGGGCGCAGGTGTGTGCAGGGTGCATGGCGTATCAGGTTTACGGATGTGTGCATTGGTGGTGGTGGGTGCATCACAGGGGCATCATCTCATGGGGCGGGTTGGACCCTTGCAAGCCTGACAGGCTGGTGGGGTTCATAACGGCCCGCCTTGTGCCGCCTGCAGAGGCTCAGTTGCTCTGTTGAAAAGAGGGGGAATGGGGGAGGAGAGCGGGTGCAGCATGGGGTGCATGTGCGGGAATTCGCCATTGAGGTGCTTGGGGTTCATAACCCGTTTCAGCCTGACGGGCTGGTGGGGTTTATTACTTCCCCTCTACTTTCGCCGGCAGAGGCACAGGTGCACTGTGGGAGGCAGCATGGGGTGCAGCATGGGTGGGTGCAGCATGGGTGGGTGCAGCATGGGTGGGTGCAGCATGGGTGGGTGCAGCATGGGTGGGTGCAGCATGGGTGGATGCAGCATGGGTGGGTGCAGCATGGGTGGGTGCAGCATGGGTGGGTGCAGCATGGGTGGGTGCAGCATGGGTGGGTGCAGCATGGGTGGGTGCAGCATGGGTGGGTGCAGCATGGGTGGGTGCAGCATGGGTGGGTGCAGCATGGGTGGGTGCAGCATGGGTGGGTGCAGCATGGGTGGGTGCAGCATGGGTGGGTGCAACATGGGTGGGTGCAGCATGGGTGGGTGCAGCATGGGTGGGTGCAGCATGGGTGGGTGCAGCATCTGCTGTTTCTGCTGTGTCTACCAACACCTACATCACCCTTTCTCTCTCTCGACATGCCTTCACCTCCCACACTCGTTTCTCCCATCCCCACGGTCTCACTCTCAGGGGGCGGACGTGCTGCCTCTGGTTCCTCCCTTGCCCCGCCACACCCCATCGCCCTCGCTCCTCTACATCCTCACGCTCGGCGTTGCGAAGCCCTACCGCAAGGCTGGCATGGGTAAGCATAGTTTTACTCTTTAGCTCTCTTCACGTTCCCTCTTTTTGAGGCGCCGTAAGGATCGACCCTGCGACCTCTCACTTTTCTCGCTCGTCTAATTATCCTTACTCTCGGCATCTCGAAGTTAAATCTGCATGTATTACGGGCGGATGGATCAAAGAGTGAGGCGAGTTTTGAGGCCCCTCAAAGCTCTCCTCACTCTCAGCGTCATAGCGATCAATCAGGCCCCCCTTCCATCTTGTACCTCCCCTCTTCCCCCTCGTGCCGCAGCATCCCACCTGGTGCATCTGCTTCTCTCCCATGCCGCCTCCCTCCCGCACTGTGCCGCCGTCTACCTGCACGTGGTCGCATACAACGCCCCTACTATCTCAACAACTTTTCTCACCCCACCCCTGCCCTCCCAACCCCTGCCCTTCCTCTTGCCACCCCCCTGTCCCCACAGCATCGCACCTGGTGCATCTCCTTCTCTCCCATGCCTCCTCCCTCCCGCACTGTGCGGCCGTCTACCTGCACGTGGTCGCATACAACGCCGCAGCCATCCGCTTCTATCGCTCGCTGCGCTTCTGCTTCCGCCGCCGCCTCTCGCCCTTCTACTACCTCGAAGGGGGCGAGTACGATGCGCTGCTCTTTGCGCGTTACGTCAACGGCTGGTCACCGCCCGACTCCAGGTGCAGCTCTCTGGGTTATGCTGGGTGGGTGGGTGGGTGGCTGGCTGGCTGGCTAGCTGGCTGGCTGGCTGGCTGGCTTTGTTGTTTATTTGTGGCTAAAATCGATCATGAGTGCCTTGTGCTAACATATGCTTGCTTACACTTGTTGTACGTTCACACAAACTCGAACACGCACACCCGCTCGCCCATCCAAACCTTCCCCCACATTCACATGCACACACACATACTCCCAGAATTCTCCGCACCTGTTATTTTCAGGTGCCGTGAATGTATCAAAAGTTTACCTGGTTTTCACTTCTTTCTCCTTTTGCCATCCCACTCCGTTTTCACCTCAGGTCCCAGTTGCAAGGGCCGACTCTCCAGCAATTGCAGCCTGCATTCACAGCAGCTTCTGCTGCAGTGACGGCTGCCATGTCCCTAGTGAGCTTTCGCCCACCCGCTTCTCTTCTCCGAGCTGCAATGCATTCTGCATGGATTTGCAAGTGTCTTGAGTTTTTCAGATCAACTTTCTTCTCTAGGGATGCATCTAGGCTTGCTTAAAATGTATTGTAAAAGGTGTAAGTTGTTGGTCAATTCTTACATAATTTCAGGTCTTCAACATCTTTAGAACAGCCGGGTCGGTTCGTAAGGATGCAGATTCCTTGTGGTCCGCGAGGTCAAAGTCAAGGGTCATGCCAGCAGGATGACGAACGGCCAATCAGGAATGCGGCCGCCAATCACGCAGTTGTTTGGTTCGCAGCTACGCTGGCCAGTTCTGTTTGCGTCAACGATCTCTGGAGACGTCCGAGCAGGCAACCGTGCACTGCTGACAGGGCAAGGATCCAGCGAGGCTGGAATTTACGAGCAGTGCCAAATTTCTAACACTTTCTTTGATTGATCCAAGACTCGCGATTCGCCTCGAATGCGTCGCGCATCAAGAATGTCTCCATCCTCACCTCAACGACTTGGGGTGGTGGTAGTCCTCGAGCATATAAACGTCTCCGCACCTTCGCTTTCTCATCAATATGGAATTTTTTGAAAGTGTACACACTTTGCAAAAATATATATTGTGAACGCGCAGCTGCCTGCAACGCAGCAAGGCAAGTGCTGAACTTCATTCTCAGTACATAACGAGGGTTGGAGGCCATTAGGCCTCCACCCACGTCTTCATTGTGACATGACTTTCAGAGGAGTGTGCAGTGCAGTGCAGTGCAGATTGTGGTTCGACTTGAGGAGGGGTTCGCTATAACAAAAAAAAATACGCGCAGCTGCCTGTAACGCAGCAAGGCAAGTGCTGAACTTCATTCTGAGTACATAACGAGGGTTGGAGGCCATTAGGCCTCCACCCACGTCTTCATTGTGACACGACTTTCAGAGGAGTGTGCAGTGCAGTGCAGTCGTCATAGCATTTCACATCTCAAGTATACAGCACACTCGATGATATGGAATACATATGGTGTTCTAAACGGAAACAAGATACGCACAAGCGATCCAGTGTATAAGGGAGAGGAGGGTGGGAACTAGAGAAGTGAAAACTGCAAATGAGACTAGGTGGTAGGTCCCGAGGACCTGCCGAAAGGTAAAGGAGAATGTCTCCTTTACAGCAAACCCCTCCTCAAGTCGGACCACAATCTGTAATTTTTTTTGTTACAAAAATTTTCTCATATTGTGACACGACTTTCAGAGGAGTGTGCAGTGCACTCGTCATAGGTCGAACGAGACATCACGGGAGAGGTCGGTGGCGGCCCCTCTCGAATGTGGTCAAGTACCGATCGGTCGGGCTAGATCGGAGAGGGTCCTGTAGTACGCGAGAGGCATCGACAAGCTCGCGATCGAGTTGTGTAATATATAGCTCCTTAGCCCTATCACTACGCCACCGGTCTGTCCGGCACTCCGACGTCGACAGCTACAGTTGCCGCCGATTTACGGAAGGAATGAGTGCCGAGGAGATCCGGGTTAAGGCCGACGCGGGCAAAGCCATCGCGACACCAGCCCCGCACGGTAGCATACGAAGGGGAACGGTCGGAAGGGGAAGCCCCGGCACCCGGTTGGAACACGCGGATAAGAGGGCCGGTAGAATCTTGAGAGTAGCCCGCGAGGAAAAGAAACTGTTGGACACGAGAGACAGGGCAGTGGCGGGCAGAGGATGCTGCCACTGGGACCCAAGCACCTCCGCCGGCTTGGTCCGTCTTGGAGCGAGGAATAAATAGCCACATGCAGTCCCTGTCAAACTCAATCTGATGCCACTGGAGGGAAATCAGGTCAGAGAAGCGTAAGAAGGCCGAAAACATGAGAAGAGGGATCAGCCCCCGCTGGAATGTGGCCGGGTCGGATGACGATAAATATATGTCGCAGATATCGTAGATTTTTTCTGGGGGTACAGGCTCTTTAGCCTTAGATGGTCGTCCGCAATGACGTTGTGCATACTCTTTCACTTGGCTAGAGAGTGGCCCGCGAACAGGAGACGGTTCGCCAACGAGCCAATGGGCGCACGAAATGGCAGAACATGTCGAACGGATAGCCGAAATAGGGGCGCCATTGCGGATCGAGTGCAGAAGGAATAACGCCGCGGTCAAATCACTTGAAGGAAGTAAAGGAAGAGCGTGCATGGTACAAAACGCGCGATATTGCCGCCAATATGGCTCGTACGTGCGAATTGTAGATTGAGCACGGAGATCGACGGTGAGCGTCAAGAGGTCCAAGAGCAGGGGGGCGAGCTGGTGACCTGTGTAACGAGAAGCATTAATTAGTAGTGAATATTATTCAAAGGGCGTACATAGGAGAGTTAGGAAGTCCAGCTGTCAGAATCCCAACCACTAGACCATTGGGATAAAAGGGCTTGTTTCAGTAGCGGGTCAGTGCGCCCATAACCCCCCAGGCAACCGCGCCTGTAACCCCCCCTAGGATCGATCGGGATCTCACAGTGTAGCTCTACTGACACCCCCCCACACTGGGAGGCCCAGGACTGAGCACAATGGCAACGGCCAACATGTGCATACACCGGGATTCGAACCCGAGACCGCTCTGATACCATGTCAGAATCCCAACCACTAGACCATTGGGATAAAAGGGCTTGTTTCAGTAGCGGGTCAGTGCGCCCATAACCCCCCAGGCAACCGCGCCTGTAACCCCCCCTAGGATCGATCGGGATCTCACAGTGTAGCTCTACTGACACCAGCCCCACTAAATGCCGAAGGATCACTTCCAACACACAAACAGTCGGAACCAGAGGAAAGACTAAGGGTTGCGGTGATATCACTAGCCCAACGGTCTGGGTGTAGAAGAGGCCACCAAAAGGCACTAGGCCAGCGAGGGATCACTAGGGTGAGGGAGGTTCTTGAGCGGCGAGCGTGGGCGAGAACGGCGGGAATAAGGGGTGGTGGTGGAAACGCGTAACAAATTTCCCCCAACCAACTAATTGAAAACGCATCCTGCGCGAGGGCCGCTCGCGAAAACTCCAGGGAGCAATAACGAGCCAGCTGTGCATTGGTGGGTGAGGCGAGCAGGTCAATGGAATGAGGCCCCCAACGCCTCTCGAGCAAAAGGAACCAAGGACGCGCGAGAGAGTAGTCGTCGTGAAGTTCCAGTTTTGACAATGTATCCGCCTCGGTATTGAGCTCGCGTGGGATCCATTGGACCGTCAGTCGAATCTTGTGACGCACACAGAGCTGAATGATGGCCCGGCATACAATTGTCAGCTCGGAACGACGTGAGCCCCCTTTCCTCAAAATGTAATAGGCTGCCTGACTGACGCTGCGCAGAAGGATGTGGCAGCGCTGAACCTCGTCAGCAAAGGAGGAGAGGGCCCAGAGAATTCCCGCGAGTTCGCGAAGCGTGCTGGACGAGGCGACAAGAGCCTGAGGTAAGTGTGATGAAAGCGATCCGACGCGACCATCGGGTGCGGAATAGCAAGCCCCCCAAGCGCTGTCGCTCGCGTCCACATACATCACGATGTCGTATAGATATGGATTGTGAAAACACGAACCGTTGAACACATCGAACTGGGAGAACCAAAAGCGCAACTCGTCAATTGACTCCGCGTTCAAGAGGACTGAGTCTCCCCAGGATGAGCAATCCGAGATTTGTGAAAGTAGATTGTGCGAAAAGGCACGCGCGAGGGTGCCGAGGGCGAGCGCCATAGAGGCAAGCATGCCAGTGATGCGAGCGACGCGTCGAACCGGGATGCGCCGCCCTCGCTCGCCAAGCATGCAAGTCTGTTGGAGCTCGACAAGCAATCGTTCTCGTCGATAAGCGTCGACGGAGAAAGAGGTTGTGCGCGTGTCCAGTCTGAGTCCTAGGAATTTGTGGCACTGACTTGGCTCGAGCTGCGATTATTTTGAGTTGACGATGAATCCGGCCGCTGTGAGGTTGGCCAAGATGATAGCTCGATTGCGAAGGGCCTCAGCTCGAGTGGCATTTATAAAAAGGATGTCGTCAACATATGGGATAAGTCGAATGCCTTTGCTGCGCCAGCGCTTTGCGAGCTGCTTGATTAGTTGGGTGAAGACAAACGGCGCAGTGGCCAGCCCAAAAGGCAGGGATAGGAACTGATAGCGTTGTCCTTGGAGGGTGAAACCAAGAAACCGCCAATATGCGGGGTGGATCTCCACATGGTGGTATCCGGCCTTCAGATCGATGGTGAATAGCCAATCGTCTCGATGCACCAAGTCGGGCACCCGGTTAAGGCCCTCGTAACGAAATCGTGGGAAGGACAAGAATGTATTCACGTGTTGAAGGTCCAATATGAGCCTCTTTTTTTAAGGTTGGACGACTACATTTAAAGGGCTGACGCATGTGAGGGGTTCCGACGGGGACACCATTCGGGCCGCTCCTGTCGCTAGTAGCTCGGTGACTGCCTCGACCGCAAATGCGGTAAATTGAATGGCACCCGAGTGGTTTGCCGCTTGGTGGGGAGTGGGCTCCGAGGATGCCCACGGAAGACGGTAGCCGGATGTGATTACTGACATGATGAAGCGGCTATCACACCAAGCGGCCCACCAGCTGGCGCACGCACCAAGGCGACCACACATGAAAGGTGTGCCGGTGGGTGAAGTGTCGAGAGCGGCGATGATGTCCAGCTCTGGTAAGGGGTGCAGGGAGGAGCGTACGAAGAAGGGTGAGTGTTGAGGCCATGTAATCGTATCTTATCATCTTCTTCTCTTTTTGTTTTGTTTTTTTTTTTTTAACTCGTCTCTTTTGCATTACCTCCTGCCTTCCTTTCTTCTCTCTCTCTCTTGAACCCCTTCTCTTCCTCCCTCTTTCTTCATCTTCTTTCTGTCTATCTCTCTCTCCTTTTTTTTTTTTTTTTAGTAGAATCGTATCGGTAAAGTAAATAGGGGCAATCATTTTTAAATAAGACAGTTGCTCGTAGATCTGGAAAATTATAACGGCATAATCATACAAAGATCTTCACGCAATCTTAGTGGGCCTATTGGCGCCCTGGCCACGCTGGGGGCAATCCGCGATCCCATGTCCGGGTTCGCGACAGTAGAAACAACGCCCGTCACCGTCACGGCGCCACGTGTTCCAATTACGCTCTCCTTGGCCTCGACCCTGAGGGG